CAAATTGTGATCACTTGAACGTGGGAATAGCATAATGATCGTAACTTAAAAGACCGGTCACTTTTAGGTCACTTTTTCTGAAGCTAATCATAACTTCGAACTGTTGTTAAATGAACAGTGGCAAGTCACGAACTACCTGTAGAGGAACACATGTCTTCAATCTGACCTTATTTATTACTTAGCTCATTGTGTGATGGTATGATCAGACTCTGCTCTAGAAAATCACTTCCTACATGTAAAAAGTGTGTACCGACATGAATATGAATTCTCATGAATATGGAGACAATTGCATTCTGGATGCTGAACACTAACTGAAAAGCTTCAGGAAGAAGTATGTCACATTCATTCCATGACCATGTTGATCTCTTTATATTCCCCTAAATTTGTTTCTAACATTAATATAAATAATATCTCGGATAAATATTTCTCCTACATTTTAAAAGCCTTTTATTACATCCGTTTATTACACAATTCAATGATGCAACTTAAAACCATTAAAATGTGAATACATTTGGAATCCTGAATTCCCGTTATGATTCGTATCTGTGATATTAGATGTTAATAAAACATGCAGCAAAATTTCCAGTCAGAAAGATGGACTAATAGACACTAAACTTTGTGTGTTGTTTATATGTATGTTTGATAGTGATTTTTTATTAGTTATAAAAAATCACTATCAAACATACATATAAACAACACACAAAGCAACCTTGGTTGCTTCCTGAAAATAATTATACATTAAGACATATAGTGAATACTTTAAAGATCCTTCAGTATATCTTCAAATTAATATTACAGTAAAAAGTTAAAAATATCTAAAAATTGTATTTTAAACATGTTTCATATGTTTGTTTCTAATTTCTTTTAAAATATGTATTAAATTTTTTATTTTCAAAAATCTTTATTCTATGTATGCCTTTTTTTACAAAATTAATTTAAAATTAGGCCAACCCCCATGTGCCTCTTATTAAATTTTTTGAAAAACTGTTCTTATTCATTGATTTCACTGTGAAGAGCAAACACAACATAGACATAAGGCTATCTGAACGCTTTATTCGCTACATTTAGAATATTAATAACATTCTTCCAAGAAGTTGTCACATCAAGTAAAAGATCTTTATTCCAGATTGTCTTTTGGGGCCAAATTGAGACTGGATGCATGCATTTAATAAATTGTAGTCTCAAGTAGTCATTTTTTGTAAATAATTAGCTTCAGTGGAAGAATAAGTTAGCATATTGTATGCATCTAATGTTGCAAATGTACATACTGCAAACTTTCCTATTAATCAACAGTCAAGCACTGTAAGTTGGGTCTCATACATAATGAATTGTGCTTAAGCCTCCTGGGTTTCATTGATAGAAAAATAAGAGAAAACACAAGTGTAGTAAGCTTTTGAATAAAATTTAACTAGATTGCTCTGCATCCTGTAATTGTTTTGGAATCATGAGGGAATAGACAATTCATCTGCAATTTTGGTGGTAGTTTTGCCTTCATCTATCAAAGAATACTATTTAAATGACATTAAGGTGTTGAAATAACTACTTTAAAAATTCTACATAGAATGTTAATAATATATGTTTTATGTGTTTTTCCCCTTTCTTCCATACCCTTAAAAATGTTGTATATATGTGTGTTTAGAGAGAATATTGTCATGTCATTTTTAAGTATTTCAATACTTATTTTGATTTATTGCCTTCTTTTTGTAAACTGCTCTGAAAATATGATTGGGGTGATAAAAAGTCTAACAATCAAGATTATTCAAATTCACCTGAGAAATTTAATTTGTGTGCATTTAAAGTTAACAAGAATGTGTAATATTTACTTCCTGGTTTAGGTTGCTGACATTGACTAGAATATAAAATGTTGAAATTGTAAAAGCACAGTGTGTTAATTCTTTGGTTAAGTAATACTTCAGATTTATTTATTTGTTTATATAGAGCCAAGTGCCAAGAAAAATGAAACACTTTCTTGGAGTTGGGGCTCTGAGGAATTTGCTTTTCTTCAGATCTAGTTAGAGCTTTGTAAAGCTTCCATCTAATAAGATCTCATTCTCTAAGCACCTTCCCAATGTTCTGGGGCTACAGTTAACAGACTTCTCCAGTAAGCATGTCCATATAGAATAATATTCCACAAGATGTGGCCATCAGATCTCTTGGAAGTACAATTTGCCTACAGCACAATCCGGGCTTTTGTTCCAAATGTGCACTTGCATTTCCCATGTGCCTTCCACTCCTGGACCATGAACTCTCAATGTTAAACTATAATATGTAATATCAGTCCTATTTTCCCCCATTAGTCTACTCTACTGATTTGATCTCATCAACCTTGATATTCTGGAAAGGATTCTGCCTTCAGAAAATCAAGATAAGTGGCTATTCCTAGGAAGATTTCAAAGTTACTTGTAGATTAGTTTTCAGGAAATAGATTATATGCATACTGGTATGGTTGAAGATTCTATAATTTGTCTTTCCAAAATGATAACTGTCATATTGTGAAGCTTTTCAGAAGGACCACCAAACTTTTGAATAATAGTATTTTATCTCAAAAAAAAATTCATGAACCCAGGCACCACAATTCATTAGTATTGATCCCCTACAATTAAAATTTATATTTCATCATAACTTATTTCATTGTGACTTTCCATATAGAAAGATAGGGATAATTATTCTAACTGATTCCCAGACTATGGAATGTACTTCCTAATGAGATATGTTTGGCTTCCATTGTCCCTGGATTTAGGAACAGATTGTAAATGCAAGTCTTCCCAATCTTTTAATTGTTAATTAGTTAATGATTATATAGTGGTTTTTAATTTTAATTTTGGTTTCAATTGTTTTTTTCTGTAGTTTGTATTTTTTATTATCAGAAAACATAAATTTTGCAATAAACAGAAATGCAATAAACAGAAATTCATTATTAAAGAAATAAAGATAATGCATTTACAACCAATAAAAAAGCACGTGAGATAAATAAGAATACAATTTTATTTAATAACACTTTTTAACAAGGAAATATTTATATGAATACCAAGTAAAACACACACACACACATATTTATGAATGTGGTTTACAAAATCAATATCACTTGCACACAGACTTCAAGTATCTTCTCTCCCTTCCACAAGAAGCAGGGGTCATCTAGCTACTTTAACAAAGGATAATAGTGTGATTCTACAGTTTTTTAAAATCCAAAATGGAGCATCTCCCTTGCCAGGATTGTGCTAAAAACATGTCTGCTCAAAATTGTCTCTTTGCATACTTTGCTGTAGCAGCAGTTTCTTATGATTGGCATGTGAAAATTACCTTTTCCTACTTGGTTAAGGTCTTGTATGCTCTCTGGGTAAAGAGAAAATCAGCAGGTTTTTAGATTTCAGTACAAGACAAGGAGTCATTATTTGGATTCTCTGTCGACTGGGGAAAGTCCCAAGAATTTTTGAGTAACCTACTGCTGTTTGATAATGATTTGAACTTACAGGCTCCAGCATTTTAAGTCCAGATGAAGGTTGGACATTGGGTACAAAATGAAAAGTAGATGTAATAAATAATTTTTCATTTAATCAAAATGTTTAGAGGTTTTAGTATATCACAATATTCCTCTTAATTGAAGATAATACATAACTTTGGCAAAAAAAATGTTTTAACTCCCAACCACTCTTTGCTGGCTTTTCAATAATGAATAAGTATACAAACCTAGAAAATCATTGGAGTAAAGACCTGTTATAAAAACATGTATGAGAAAAAAATAAGGAGTTGAGATTAAGTTAAAATTTAAAATATTCGTTTTAAGGTAAATATTGCTACTACAGTATAGAAATTCTGCTGATGCCCCTTTTAAGTGGAGAAATGGATAAGATTGCAGGCTGAATTGTAATTAAATGTTGTTGGAATGAAAATAAGAGATACCTATATTTTCCAGAGAGGTGGGTCATTAAACCGAAACAATTCTATGGATGCAAATTCCCAATAAGAAGTACAATTAGATAATACAATATATGGGATTTAAAAATAGGAATCAGTTCAAATAATCAAGTGAAAATTTGTACACTATACGATAAAATTGAAGCATTTGCACACAGTTTTGTTCTCAGAGCTCAGTTTTACCAGGAGAAAGATCTTTAAAATCAATTGGAGAAGATGCTTATGAAGCTAAGATAACTGGGTGAATGGGTAGCAATTTCAACTAATTTCTTTTCTTAAAAATCCCCCTTTTAAATTGTTTTAGCACCCTTACAAATTTCAAAGTGGAGATTTGAAGCCAGGTTTTAAATCCATTTTTTTTCTGTGAGACTTTAAATCAATCCACCTTGCTTGACATTCTCCCCAACTATTGACACATTCCTTGCATAAATAAATATATTTTCCATTTGTCTGCTACAGAGAGATAATCAAAAAGAGAAGCAGAATTTTCAGAGAAAATGATAACTCCATAATACTTCTACTCATTGGCAATGCAAAGAAATATTTCCTTGTCCTTTTGTCTGTTTTTTGTTTTTGTTTTGCTTTGTGGTATTCCTTACTTCAAGCTTCATTCATGCAAAATTTGCTTTCCCCAATAGTTTGTGCAATAGTGTTATTCGTCTTTTTCTAAACTGGCATGCATCATACATGTTGGTGGGTGTCACTTAGGAAATCGTATTTTTCTGTTGCTCTTCAGATATTTACTCCTGTCTAAATATAGGAAAAGTGTTACCTCTTTCTAACCTATATGCCTGGACATTTGTTAATTTTGAAAATATTATAAGGAGATATTTCATCTCCCTAGGTTTAAAGGAGATTTGTGTGACATATTCACCAGGGATGGAAACTGAAGTGCTTTATTCCAAATTTCTTTTCCTACTTTTGTTTTTTCATATTTATTTCTCTGTACCCCACTCCTTCTCATTTGGATTTGGATTTTTTGGCCTGCCTTAAGTTTCTTTTACATAATGGCCTTTCTTTGTTGTACAATGTTTAAACTCTGCAGTTTTAAAATGAATGCTACTCTGTTACTCTTTCAACAGAGTGGAGGCCTCAATATCTTGTGAAATATGTGAAGCCACAGGGGAAATGAAGGAACCACTGAAACAATGTATAGCTTGGCTTCAAGCTTATTTCACTGAGCCCCAGTTAATGCTGAAACTTCCAGTGCCTCCTTTTCACCATCAACTCCTAGAACAAGGTCTGTATGTCTTGTAGTGTTATATTTGGCACTTCTTATATGATGTGCACTTCTGTTGTTGTTTTTTGTAAGGTTTGTACTTGGCTTTTGGGTAACATTTGCAATAATGAATATATGTAGCTCAGGTGTAGGATGAGGATGAAGGTTCATTCTCTTTTAGGTAACATGTTAGAACTTAAAATCTGCAAAACGTTATGATTTTATTAATATCAAAATCAAATGTAGTGGAAGTCTGTATTGATCTGCTAATCCTACTTGCTCAAACCACAGAGTGTTTCTCGAGCACAGCAGCTTTAAAAATGTGGCTTTCAACTCCAGGTATTCCACAGTCCACACAACTTAAAAGTTGCTGAGTTCGAGAAATACTGTGCTAAAAGAATGCTTCAGTGGGATTCAGCTACATGTCACAGTCACCAGATCTTCATTTAATGACAATAGTTTAATTATCATCCAGAAGAAACTGCATGCGATAAAATAAGAGTCTCAAGTTGCAGATTTCTAAAAAGTGTTATTTGTTTCTATTGGTAAACACAAGAGAAGTAGAAGAACAGTTTTGCTTCTTCTGACAGAGGACATCAGGGAGAGTACCTCCAGTAACTAGATACACAAGATACACAAAAATATTGGGGGGGGGGGGAATTAAAAAAAATATTTAACCATATTAATGCTTATTGATATCAGTGCCTTAAACTAAAAATAGGTTTAATTGAATTTTAGCTTAAACTCTGCACCCATGTGTTTTGTTTTCCTCATTTGGAACTCTGGAACAATGCTTGACGAGAACACCTTTTTATTTCTCTTGCTCCTTTGCACAAAAAGAAATTCATATATTGAACTATATAATTAATAGCATTGGCTGAATTATTAGAATGTAGACCACTGACATGTTTATCAGAAATACTTTAGGAATTTTCACTAGAGATAGCCAGAGTCGTCCTCCTCCATTTGTTACATTGCTTTTCTGCAGGTTGGCTGTCCCTGCATGTCGCTTTTAAACTTTCCAGTTTTGCAGTGATAATTTCAATAACTAGTGTGGGAATGGCTATGTGATTTATTTTTGCTACAGTTTTGTTCATCTCATTATGGGAAATGATTTTTTACTCTTCAAATGAGCAATGTTAATATACTGTACTGTTTTACATATGTGTTGGTGAATATTGCATTTACATCCTCTTTTTGCATTCTGTTATTTTAAAATACATATTTAATTTGCACTTATATATTCAGATGCAGATTTATTTTTCAGATGCTTTGAATAATAAATGTTGATGTATGTTAGAGACTGCATCCCCATCTATTTTGACTTTGGTATTTTTCTGTAAAATTGACAAAGGTTTCCTTGGCTACTGCTATATCAAAATATAAATGAATCAAAATTGAGGAATCTATTGTCAATTTCTTGTTGCTATTTTCTTGATAAAAATCCCTTTAAAGTTGCAGTCCTAACCATATATTCGAAGGAGCAAATTGACAAAAATTAATGGGATTGCTTTACCTTTATTTACTAAATTGTTCCTATATGCAGCTGTTAAAAGCCAAGCTAGAAATACCTCAAATTATAGCCTCCTTGACATTTGATCCTTACTGAGCTTTTCATATATAAATATTTAAGAATAAGAAACAATGCAAAGCGGGGGATTATGAAAAGGATCTTATGTATTGCAGTGACATTTTAACAGATAATAGAAGATTTATAGGAGAGAAAAATAGAACAGGTTGTTCCCTGACTAGGCAGAAATTTTAGCTCTCTAGCTTTTATTTCTGCATGTAAATAGAGTGATGAAACTGCAAAAGGCAAGTGTGGTACAGTGATTAACATGTTGAAGTTGATTAAGATGTTGAAATCCACACTGAAGTCCACTTTCTGTCATTGGGTGATTTGGAGCTATTCACTCTCTTAGTCCAACCCACTGAAAAATGTTGTAGTTTTGAAGGAAGGTGGGAGAAAGGAACACCATGCACATGGATTTAAGCTGCTGAACAAAAAGCAAGATATAAATCTAATAAATAAAACCCTCTGCAGGACAAGGTATTTATCATGTAGCTCCTAATTCCAGTTAAATATCAATTTATTTTCTTTGAAATGTTACATTATCTGATTGTTCACCAGCAGACTCTTCTTGAATGAGTCCCCCCCCACCTTCAATATTACACATATGCATTATGATTAGCAATCCTTGGAGTGGGATAGGATCTGTACTAATGTTTGAATTCTTCTGACAGGAATGTTTGACAAGCCTTCTTCTATGGGAACCATTTTCCTTGGACATTTTTCCAGGAGATTTCAAGGCAGTGGCAATGCTGCTTCCCCCATTAATTTGATCTTTTTAATCTGACTTTATAATTGATTTGACATTTGATCACCATGATGAATGTTCCGTTCCAAGAGAGGCCTGGGGGAACTCAGGCCCGTTCCAAGAGAGGCCTGTTGAAACTCCTAGCTATTTCAGAAGTTAAAATAGGAGTAGGCAATGTGAGGTGCTGGGCCCTTTTGCACCTCCCAGTGCCTTACTGATTGGGTTGCTAAAATAACATATTGTAATCAATTTAAGAACTTAATATGTAAAATCTGTAGCATGTCCTGGAATAACCTAGATTTGTTTGCCCTTTTTTCCCCCTTTGATCCTATTCCCCAAACAGAAAATCCTGAAGCTATCTTCATGTGTCACTCTGATTATTTTGTACTCTTGTACTTTGACACACACCCCCGCCCGCCAAAGACCTCCATTTTCCAATTACCTAAAGACTATACATCCCTATAATGGGATGAAAATAAATGAAGCTGTATTTGCCTGACATTAAATTGTTACTTTCACTAAAAAAACAATCTAGGGAATACTTACAACATGCAGTACAGACTGTTTGGATCACTGAGCCCCTTATTTTTTTCTACCTGATATTTCAGTGTTCAGGTAAACCTCTTGCATTAAATGTTTTTTTTTAATTTGGAAAAGATTAATTTCAAAGCAAATACATATTGTAACACTTAGTGACCTTTCAGCGGTCAAGTGGAGTTCCAAGAGGTATTTTTTATTTCCATTTCTCTTTAATGTTAGAATTTAAACTGAAAGTAGACATACATATTTTATAGTTGGAAAAACGACTGTAAAATAAGAGTGCTAATCATTATTTTTGATGGTAATGGTAAATAGTTGCAAAGTATGGCATTTTTTAAAAAAATTTCACAGTTCCGTATTGTCTATCATCCACACATACACAGTGTAGCAGTCACATATCTGTCACAGTTTTTTTAACATAAAATATAAAGACAGATACCAGCCATGTCAAAATTACAATACAATCTGTGCAGAATCTGATCAGATTTCTATAGTTCTAAATTGTGATCAGCTGAGAGATAATTACTATGATGTATTTCATGCCCAATCAGTGTGATTTGTCCTGCATTCTCATGATACAGGGAATCGTATACAATATTTAGTGCAAGATCACAGAGATCTTCTTGGCAGATATTAATGAATTTAAGAATACTAATGACAACTACAGCATGTCAAACAGTAAATGTTTTTTAAATGTGATGTTATAAAACTATCAAGCCAAGGCCAACATATATTTAATCCTCTCAGGGACAAAGAGAATACATAGCTCTGATTCAGTATCCTTCATCATTGGGATCATCATTGTGGGTATCAGGTCACAATAACTTAGAGCACAATATAATTTTTCCCTTGAAATCTTTTTGGAGTAAAAAAAAGTTTTGGAGTAAAAATTAATTTGTGTCATTAATTGACATAGTTTATCAAAATAAAAACATTAACAGATATCAGTTTGATTCTGTTTACCCATTACATCAAATATAGGCCACCTTGAATGTTAGAAAAGTATCCCTTAAGCATTCAATCTAAAGATTTTCTTGTGGTCTAAAATCTTGAGAGGCACAGGCCTGGAATTATATAATAGACCTACTTCCTTTGAAGGAAGTAGTTTGCAACATATGCATTCTATTCTAAACTCAACAATTTTGTAAATAAGTATGTCATGGTTTCGACAAACAGAGACGAATAAAGCAGAACGCAGAGATTTGCAAATTCCTCAAATAACATGTTTATTAGGTACAATGTATTGGCACATCAAAAGTGAAACCAAGTCTGGAGACACACATAACAATTCCCCAATACAAAGTTAAAAAATCCCTCCCATAGAACTATGCAGGTAACTACGTTCCCCAATACATCTTCTCGGCGGGCTTTTTATGCAACGCCCAGCTTGCAGTCTCGGGAGCAGCCGATGACCTTGGTTCCCACTGGACAAAAGACTATTTTGACTAGCGAAGCACCTGGGCAACCCCCTTCCCTCCATTCTATGTGGCAACCGAAAAGGAGTAGGAAAAATGGTTGCAGCCATGCTCATTTGTAGAGTTGACAAAGTAATTGTCAGGGTTAGGGCTGGACACATTGTCTTTCTCAGAAGGTTTGAAGCCAAGGAACCAAGTACCAGTATTAATCAAGAAATAACAGATTCAGGCCCTGTAATTCATGAACCTGATGTAAAGAATTCTGGCCTACAACTAAAAACAAGGCTTCCTAGCTTTCAGCATGACAGGACATAATTTGGAGAAAATGAGGCAAAGGAATAGCTGCTTGCAGAAGGCAACTTGTCCCATTAAAATATCTTTTAAGTTTTATATACATCTGAATGGCAATAAAGAAACTTTGTATGCTAAAGGCCACCTGAGATCCTCTGATGTAAAATAGCCAGTCTTAAAACCACGTGTTGTACATATCTGAACTCCTTAAGTATGGATGGTTTTGTTAACTGCAACCAACTCTCCCTTGGAATTTTCCTTTTGTATTTGGAGAGTTGAGACTGAGTTGTGACTCTCAGTCTGTTTTCAGACAGTGATACTTCTTGACCCCTTAACAAACATATGAAAGACAATCTCCAAATATTTAAGGTCATAATTTGCTCAATAAAGTTTTCACTAATTTTCATTACTCTGCATTTCTAGATGATCTCTTTGCAAAGATAGTAAGAATAGGAAA